AAGATTGCCTGTCCAGGTATATGTGCATCAGAAATTGGAGCTATAATCTTCAGTACTATGTTAACACTCAGTTGTTTATTTTTGTCCTTGTGACTTATGTGCATGTCTGTTCAGCTGTTCTGAGAATTCCTTTGGTTCAAGGAAGGAAAAAGGCCTTCTCCACTTGTCTGCCACATCTTATTGTCTTCTCCCTATTTGTGTTTACAGTTTTCTTTGCTTACCTAAGAGACATATCTGACAATTCATCCTACCTTGGCTACATAATTACAATGCTATATTCCATTATTCCACCCATGACTAATCTATTGATTTACAGCATGAAAAACAAGGACATCAAACTTGCTCTTTCAAGACTTCTTAGTCAGAGATTATTTTATTTTACAGAATTAGGAACTGTGTACCTATCTATGTTTGCATTTGATCAGGAAGAGAAAAATATACATGCAATAGACAGTTGATAAAACCATCACTCCTATTGCAGGCAAATTACTCTAGCACTCTAGTATTTTTAAAACCAGTCTGCTTACATTTTCTTTGATGTGTCCAACTCATATTGGCAGTCTCCTTCAAGTCAAGTTCAATTCTAAGCAAGTTCGTGGAGGCTACTTTAAGAATTTTTATTCTCTGAGCACATTTACTTTTATTGGCTCATTATATTGAATTCCAGCATGATATGGTCACTCTCATCCAAAATTCTGGCAACTTCAATTTCCCCTATCACTTCTTCTTTATTTGTAAAAATTAAGTCCAGTATAGCTTTTTCCCTCCTCTATCTTCTGGATCAGGGGTCGCCAACCTTTTGGACCTCAGGGACCACCAAACTCATAATTTTAAATCCCGTAGACCAGAGACCCTTGGAAAATCCCCCAAAAAGTCTGCAGGAAAATTCCCCACCCTGTTTTCTTCCCAATCAATCATTCTTTATTTGGGATCACAGGATACCATCTCCAGCTCCGTTCTCAGTGGGAGAGGGAGAGAGAGAGACTTTTGGCTTCATGCAAGGAAAGCAGCAGAAGCAGCAGAAGTCTTTCTCTCTCTCCCCTAAACTCCACCAGAATGGCTCAAACTTTTGGATTAGGATGCCTTGCAGGGTCCCAAAGACTCATTTATGGTGGAGTTTGTGGAAGAGAAAGAAAAACTTTTGGTGCTTTCCTTGCATACAGCCAAAAGCAGAAAAAAGAAGCAGAAAAAAGCAGCCCAGTGGCCAGATGAGGCACACAGGGCAAGTTCCTCCCCTCTGCCCTTTCCCCCTTCCTCTCACTACCTCATGTTGTTCACAATGCAAGCAATGCAAGCCTTGTGTTCCCACAGGCTATGTTGGTGGTGCAGCCTTGTGTTCCCAAACAGCCTGGATTAATTGCTTTGGGGGGTGCTTTGGGGGTGACATTTCTCTGTGGACCACCAAAATTTTCTCACAGACCACCAGTGGTCCCTGGCCCACTGGTTGGCAACCACTGTTCTGGATGACAAAATTATCAGCTAGGTCTGTTTAATCTCCCTTTTTGCAGAGTTTGTCTCCCATTTGATATCAGGATAGTTAGCCTCCCATTACTACTGTGGTATGTTTCTTACATACATCTGCTATTTTTTATAACAAAAAGTTCTGATTCATTGGGTGGCCCATAGTAAATGTCTATAACTATGTAATTTTTTTTCTTTTATATTGACCCATATGGAGTTTAGGAGGTTTTCATCCTTGGTTTTGTGCATTTCTGTAGAGATGTAGTGATCTTTTATATATGATGCAACTCTACCTTTTCTTTTGTTAAGTCTGTTTCTTTTGAAGTTTCTATCCTTTTATCATTATATTCCAGACTAGTTTCATCCCATCAAGTTTCACTAATGGTAACTATATCATATCTGCCTTTATGTACTAGTACCTCAAGTTCACCCATTTTGTTCCCTAGACTTGAGCATTAGTATATAGCCATTTGACTCCTTTATGGCTCTTGGGTAAGTTTTTTTTTATCTTCTACTTTGCAACTGGATTTTCCACTCTTCCTATCATTATCTGATTGGTTATGTTGGGGTTTATGTTTGGAATTAAGTCCTAAAAATCCTACAGATTGTCCTAGAGATCTTAAATATTGATCACCTTACCCACTCATTTTTAGTTTAAATCCCTCAGGATAAGTTAAGCCAGTTATATTCAAAAAACATTCTTCCTGTTTTTGTAAAGGGCAGCTAAAAATCCTCATGGAAGTAATGCAGGCCATAGTCTAGGAATCCAAAGTTTTCTTTCTGACATTAATTCTTGAGCCATCTGTTCATTTCTAAAGACCTTTGTTCTCTTATTGGAAGTTGACCTATCATTGGAAGTATAGATGAAAATACCACTTGTACTCCTAACTCTTTAACTTTCTTGCCTAACTCTTTGTATTGTTTTTAGGTTCATTCTTATGCTGTTCATCCTTATGTGAAGAATGAGAAAGGGGAATAATCCATGGGCTTGATTATTTTCAGCTACATCTTTGATTTTTGCTCCAGGAAGGCAACATACTTCCTTAGATTGAATATCTAATCTGCAGAGTGCTGGTTCTAATACTCTATAATTGAATCTCTTCTCACCAATGCTTTCCTTTTTTTCCCCATAGGGAGGTTTGGGCTACTTTTCTTCCATCACAGGAGCACTTTGTGATGCCACTTTTACATATAGACTTTGGCATGATGGGTTAATAGTCATATAATGAAATATTTGTTAATAAAACTTTATTAAATATGAAGGTTATGAGGAACATTATCATTTTGTTCACTCATTTCTAAAATAAATTGGGAGTAAAATATGTGTTTATTTGTATACGTGATTCCCAATATTTTCCATATTCCAAAAGAAGAAATTCAGTCTGCAAAATGATTCATATTTAAGGTTACCTCACAGAGAAAGGAATTCACAACATATATATTTAATATAATGGGCTCATTTACAGAATGTATTCAAAATCTAGGAGCCATCATTCCTGAGGAAATGAAATTTTGGAAAGTTGTGGTGGCTTCTGTGAGTTTGCTGCACAACTTTCTTACATTTTGACATATGAAGGACAAACTTTGCAATATATTTCTTGAAATGTATGTGTGTGTAAGAGAAAGATAGATGTTACATCACCTAAAAGTGTAATCTCTTTTTATTTCTTTTTCACAATCAGTATTCCCATTATGATTGCAATATCTCCAAAACATGGCCAAGAACAGCTGTCACTCAGCAAAATGTTGTATATTCAAGATAATACACAGAAAATAGTCTGACAAGTTTTTTTAGGGATCACTTACAATATGTCACAAAAAATCAGAATAATGCTGCATGTCCTTTCATTATTTAAAGAATTCAAAATATCTAATTTTCTAATCACAATTGTACAGTTTGCTGCATGAATTTTTTGAGTATTAAATAACAGTAATTATTCCAGAAAACCAAAATAAATGATAGAAGGAAATAACAATATATCATCCTTAACTTAAAACTAAAATATTATAAAATTGAGACATAGATTTTTATAAATCTGATAAAATCAGATTAACTGCTCATAACTTTTTAATTATTCAGCCTACACATTAAGCCTTCTCCCTCCCATTATAATAATAAAGACACTTGGGCTATCTCTTTTATTTTATTTTTAAATCCATCCTGCTCCCCATAGGTTATTTATACTATGAACTGATAAAATCTCATGAAACTACAGTATAATATAAAATTTTATTAGCTTTGGAAGGAGAACAAGAAAAAAGTAAAGAAATCTGCATGAATAAAAATGAATGAAGTTGGTGAGTCATTTATCTATATTTATTTTGAACTATGCATTATTTGCTCCTTTCTTCATTTAAATATTCATATGTCTTCCCTTTTCTTTGCAATTAAAATTCCAGCAAAATGCAGATTATAGTTGGCTGCCTAAATAATTCTTCAGTAACTTTTATTTAAGGGGAGAGGCGAAAATAAGCACCAGAACTTAAAACATTCTAAATTAATCAAGCAGAGAAAACAATATTTTTTCCCAGTTCTCCCTTTCATTTCCACCTTCAGTTATTGCACAGACATTCTTCAATTATTCAGATTAATGAGATTTGGCTAACTAAGAAGGATTACCATGGTCTCATGTAATTTAATTTCAATTATTTTCCTGTAATCTATGAAGTATGGCCTCAGTTTCACTTTATATATAACATTAAAAACTAGTGCTCTGTCAGTATTTAAATTTGACTCTTTCAAAACATTTTCTTTCACTTGATAAACAAGCTGACCATACAGAATTCTTAATTCAAATTATGTTGTCAAATAGAATGAAAATTTTGATTTTAAGTCATTTGTTCAATCAGCATATTGTGTAGATCAAGGTGTAAATGAGAAGATCATTGAAAGGATTAACAAGTGTAATGAATACCATAATTCAAATCCCACCATTCATTTAGGGCCATTTATGTATATTTAAAAAATAAGTAAATGATGGCTTAAAAATAATTCAACAAAAAAATTCTCTCCATCTACAGGCTCCAAAATAATAAATATGGTTAATGCAACCCAAGACAAGTAAGTTATTTCTATTACAATTAAAAGAAGAATTTAGTAGATATTGTAATTTTGTATTTACAAATCTTGAACACAGAATCCCAGAGCTATTCATATAAAATCTCAAGTCCTTTTCTATCTAATATGTATATTATGATAGGTAAAATTTATTTCAACAGATAGTTATAGTGTATAGTACTGCCTGAACTATGCCTGTTCAAGAGGAAGAAACTATTTAAAAAAGAGGATTAACCTCAATTATTTTCACATTGACATATTTGAATATACTTGCCTTCAATTCTAACTTCCCAGCAGCTTTTATTTGATTTGATTTTTTTGCTTTAGGCTCTCACTTCCAATGAAGTTAGTGTAAGAAAATGGTTTTAATTAAATAAATAATTTCAAATATCTTTAGAAGAACTATTTCTCACTCTAGGTGTTTTGCCCAAGTCATGTTTTTATGTTTTTCCTGAGCTGTGATAGTTTTCTGCTTACTGTCATGGCCTATGATCGATATATTGCCATTTGTAACCCTTTACATTATGAAATGATGATGAACAGGAAGGCTTGTACGAACATGATTGCTGGTGTATGGACTGCCAGCCTTCTGAATGCTTCATTGCAAACTCTTTTCACTTTTATGACTCCTTTCTGCACTAATAGTATAAACAAGTTCTTCTGTGAAGTCCCATATTTACTTAAGATTGCCTGTTCTGATTTATATGTATTTGAAATGGGAATTCAAATATTTACTGCTATGTTAGCAACTGGTTGTTTTGCCTTTGTCACTGTTACTTATATGCATATCTTCTCAGCTGTTCTGAGAATTCCTTCTGTTGAAGGAGGGCAAAAGGCCTTTTCTACTTGCTTACCACATCTGGTTGTTTTCTTCATATTTTTGTTTACTTCTTGTCTTGCTTACTTCAAACCTACAGCTGACAGTGAATCTCATCCAAACTTCATAATAACAATAATGTATTCCATTATTCCAGCTATGTTGAATCCATTAATCTACAGCATGAGAAACAAAGACATCAAAGTTGCTCTTTAGAGACTTTTTGGTCAGAAATTATTGCTTTTTTAAGGGGAATGAGCTGTGCATCATCTTCAAATAATGGAAGATTGAAATATAAGTATTTTCCCAACAATTTTCCAGTTTCTAATATATTATATAAAGTTCAAAAGTTTTTTTTTTAATCCAGTTTAATCCAGTTTTGAAATTTGATTTATCTCTGTTAAGATTGAGATTGTTATGTGCAGTGAGTCACTTCTGACTCTTGGACGATAGATGTTTCTTGCCAACATTTTAAGATGTAACTGAGAAAAACAGTTTGATGCAAGGGCACCCAGCTGGGTTGGGCTGGACTACTACTCATTTTTTCCAGTCTTTTGACTTAATCACAAGATTAAGTTGTCTTTGTCATAATTGTTAGTTAGATAAAAGTTTCTATCCTTTGCTTGATGCCAAAGTGTCAGAGATAATGATCACAACAGTAATTCTATGAAAGACAGCTAACATATAAAAAATTAGAATTAAATTGTATGAATATTCAATTGAATGGAATATTACATATTTCTAATAGGAATACAGTACAGAAAATCTGTAAAAAATGTATTTATTTGAAGAAAGCATTGATTAAATGAAAATAAAAAATTGTAAATTGTGTTCAATAATTTATATGAAAAATGTTTTAAAATTCCTATGAATATTGGTGTGGAATTTCTAATAAATCTTAAATGAAAAACATAATACACATGAGCTGTTCACCATTCCTCTTTATTAAGATTTTCATTTTATATATTTTAAAATACTTATTCATTTATTAGCTTCCTCAGTTTCCACAGTAATTCTAGACAGCATGCATTGTTGCATCAAAGCAATCAATCCTTAAAACAACAAGGTTTGTATAGTATGTCTGTCTATAACAGTTACAAAGAAATATGCTTATGAATAAAGCCTACTTTTTGAAGCATCAAATAAATATGGATAATCCAATCTTTATGTAAAAAATTCATCTATTAAAGTCACTGTTTAAAAAAATGGGGGAGGGAGAAAAATTGGCTTGAACAGGATCTAAGTAGTTTACTTTTCTGTAGTATTTATTGACAGATTTCTTACTTCTTCAAGAAAACATGGTTAACATATTTGTTTACTTTTTGCCTTGCATATCTAAAACCCACAGCTGACAGTGCATCACATCTGGATTTCATAATGTCAATAACATATTCCATTATTCCATCTGTGTTATATCCATTAACTTTCAGCATGAGAAATAAAGACATCAAAGTTGCTTTTTCAATATTTTTTGGACAGAAGTTATTTTTTTTAAAGAAAATGATCTGTGCAGGGGTTGGATTAGAAGACCTCCAAATTCCCTTTCAACTCTGTTATTCTATTCTATTTATTTTCAACTATCAAGAAGAAAGTAAGAAAGCTGACATACACAAGTTTGACCCTGTTACAAGTTTTCAATAGGAATTAAACCAATCCAGAAGCTGATCTTCTGTAATCTTCATAAGTAATGAGAATCTGGAAACAACTTACAACCAAAATTTCAAATATTAATTAGTATTAGCAGTAATGGAATAATGGCATTTTAATTTATAGAAACAACCAAGTATGATTAAGATAAAGGTAAAGACCCTTATGCAGACCCTTCTATTAACTAACATTCAATTAATATTCAATTAATGTTGTGATATGTGTCCTGGTGGCACAGTAGTCAAACTGCAGTATTGCAGGCAAACTCTGTCCATAGTCTAGAGTTCATTCTTAATAGTACTCCAGGTCGACTCAACCTTCCATCCTTCAAATGTAGGAAAAAGGAGGACCCATATTATTGAGGACAATATGCAAATAATATTTACATTGTAAACTACCCAGAGAATTCTGTAAAGCACTATGGGGTGATATATTAGCCAAAAGCTATTTGTATTACTATGTGAATGTAGTGTCAAGACACCTTTCCCTACAATTGTAATGCATGTATGCTAGTACATCTTCCCAAGTAATATCAGTACTTCACATTTATAAGTAAATATGATCTCAAGATTGATTCAAATATTACAAACTTACAAAATAATCATAAAGAAAAACATAAAATTTTGAGAAATAGTATCTAACAAGTTCATTATCCTTTTTTTCTAAATCTCATTATAGTAATATTCATAAGAGGATTTGTTTAACATGCTTTTAGTAAAAACATAACAAAAAGATCAGATTGGTAGATTTCTGGTTGTCATTGCTGCAGTATGGATGTGGGTTAGCCAAGCTCTGTGAATCTACTCACCAGGAGGTCCAACAGGGCCAAAATCACCTGGATGGTGATCCAAAGGAACCCTTCTGACAGGCAGGAGAGAGGTTGGTCATTACAGCCGAACTGAGGCTGTGACAACCAGTTTGAAAGAAGCAAGAAGAGAATGATTTTACAGCAGTGTGTTTGATCTGGGTGAGAGATTTCTAATTTCTACCTTGGAACTAACTTCTCCAAAAAAACGGATGGAAAGGAGGGACTCTATAGTGTCGGAGGAAGAGAACTTTTTTTCCTGCCTCCAAAAGAATAGTGGTGGGAGAGATTTTGAGCCAATGACAGATCCAAAGCAGTAGAAGAAAAAAAACATTAATGGGAAGCTAAAATTTAAAGTAAAAGGAAAGACTGGACCGGTTATTCTAGGAATTTAAAACATTTCTTAAGACATTGAGTTATTTTTCCTCTTCTGTTATTTTGAATGGATGAACTTTTGTGGAATAAACTTGGATTTATAAAGTTTGTGGTGAAAGTGGAAGGAAAGTGTGAGGGTGATACCTACTGGCTGGAGAAGAGATTACACAAGTGAAGAAAAGTTGATAAAAAGATAAGGTTGGTTAAAGAAACTTACTGAATTCTGAATTCCTTCCTTCCTTCTTTTTTTCTATTCACTCTATCATCTTGTTTCTCTTTATTTAAATTTTCTGAAAAAAGAAACAGAGAAACCCCTCCAAGAATTAAATTACCAAACTGATCACCTAAATATACCACATATTCATTTAAAAATATAACAAATTACACTTTTCCCATTTTAAAAAACTATTATGAAATCTATGTAAAAGTGAAATATATTTTGACAATATTATTAATTAATAAAGTCTTCTTTGGAGTTAATATTTTACACATTTTTGTGGAATATATATTGAAGGAAACTGTATTGGAAGCAAAGGAGTGTGGCTCTAAAATTATGGGGATTCAATCACCTGCACTATGCTGATGGTGCGAGCCTGAAAGTTTAACCTGATCTACAACTTCTTATAATGAAAGTACAAATAAAATTACAATTAAATATAAAGAATAACAAACCAATGGCAATATGAACAACAATCAATTTTCAATTTAAGAGTGAAAATACTCAATAGTAAATAGTTGATCCAAAAAGGCAGACATATAATTCTTGACTTGTGATTATAACTGAGTCCAAAATTTCAATTACTAAGCAAGGCAGTTTTTGAGTGAATTTTGCCTCATTTTACATTTTTGCTACAGTTGTTTAGTCAATCACTGCAGTTGATATGTGAATATGTGGCTTCCCACATTGACTTTGTCAAAAGCCACAAAGATTACAAATGGTGATCACATGACTCTAGGACAGTGCAACTTTGATAAATATATGCCAGTTGCCAAGTTTGGATCACATGACCATGGGATGCTACAATGGTCATCAGTATGAAAAACAAGTCACTTTTCAGTGCTATTGTAATTTTGAAAGATCAATAAATAAATGGTTGCAAGGACTACCTCTACAGGAACCAGGAATCAAAAAATATACTGTGACCTAGAGCTTGAAAGTTTTGAAAAAAATTAGAAATGTGCAGTGTCTTTCCTTAGTGATATTCATGTAACAAACTTGGATTTGAGAGAAGCAAGATAGGTATATTGACTTTTTTTCCACTTTAGTGTTAGAAAAGAATTTTGAAAACACCATGGATAGCTAAGAAAGCAAACAAATGAATCATAAAAAGAAATCAATTAAGAATTCTCAGATGATATACAATTGGCCAGTTTTAGATTCTCATAGTTTGGGTACATTATCCAAACTCATAGTGTTTTAAAGAAGTATATAAGGCTGAGAAAAGTAGAAGGAAAAAGAAGAGGATGGCTACCAAGAGATGGATGGACTAATTTGCAGCTGAGACATGAATAACCATGTTAGGAACTGATTGATCATTCTACAGAAAATATATGTGTTTGCTAAGAGTGAATATAACTTGATAACATATAATCAATCAAACCATCTCCAAACTTTATTGAAGAACCAAATGTCTGCTGCAGCAGGTAGAACAAACATGGCAAACTATCTGGTTAAACAAGGGGAAATTTTGAATAGATCACTTCACTTACAGACATAGCATATTTCAGTTGAATTCACATGACTAATTTTCCCATTGGGATTCTCACTTCTCCAGAAAAAAATAGCTAGGTACAGCTTTTATATAGTAAAAAGTTTGCCAATCCCCTTACCTTTAGGATAATAGAGGAAATTTGTTCAAAGAGGACAGAGAAATATTTTTAGTGATCACATACATAGCAGTGAACTCATAAAAATCCTTATATCATTATTCTCTGATATTATTTAAAGAAGAACCAATTGCACCTCAATTCTAAGGACACCTGTAAAATATCCTGCACAAATAGCAATAAAATTCTTCTGAGCATTTTAGATTTCCATAACATGAAAATCGATAGTGTTATATTTAGTGTTCTATTTAGTGTTCATCTAATTTAATGTAACCTTTCCCATTATTGAGTCTGCAAATTACTTCTCTTTCATCCCTATTAAAACAATACAAATTTTACGGAAATAATCCAAGGAGTAAAAAAAAAACACACCACATTCTACTGTGCCTTTTTTATCCTCCCGATAGAGACTGTTTTGTAAAACACTCTGGGGAAATATACTTGGATGAAATATCAGCACTGGCTGCACAACGTACAGATAGACCAAGATGGCTAAAGAGGTTGAGATATCGCTTATTTTATTTTGAACTTATTCAGCCAAAGCTGTCCTTATCTTTTATTT